CAATATAGACATCAGTAGCTATGTTTACATGGATGTAAGTAATCAGAATAGATAGCTGACTGGACTTAAAATAAGTTAATTTGTTATCTGACTGATAGTGGTGGTTTATGTAGATGCAGACAGCCTTAAGTTATTCTGAACTAAGTGAGCATGTGGTTAATGTTGGTATTTCCGCCTTGTGTGGCTAATTGCTCTGGCTAGCTGCCATCAGAGTATTCTGTTCTACAGGTTTAGGAGACATTGTTTTAGTCTGATCAGCAATTTTATTGTGATTACAATACCATTTATTGCAAATAAACAATTCAATCAGATCACTATTATTTGGAATCAGAATACATTTCTATCTGTTGAAGTACGTAAGTAAACTTAGCTAATGTTTTAAGTGTTGAATCTTTAGTAAAAAAGTTGAAAAATGAGGTTCTTACCTTATCAGACAGGCATGTAAAAATCACTTTTATATCCTTACATGTTATATTTATTGTAGGTTTGTTCACAGGATCTAGGATTGATTAGAATAAAGACACAACAAGTAATCAGGAAGATTAAAAATGCTGCTGATCTGCGTTTCTTATACATGAACTTCATCTCAGAATTTTATAACCTGACCTGAAATAATGCACATAAACAAATGTGATGTGAGTCATTTTATCTTAGGTAGGTAGGTATTAGCTGGAGCATATTGTGCAACAATAGCTTTAAGCCATGATCACAACTTCACACTGACCTGAACATTTATGGGTGACAGCCTCACTGATTGCATAACTGGCTTCGTTGGAAACGTTGCAAGAAAATGTGTTGGCTTTAGCTTCTTTAAGTTTTACTTCAAGTTTGCCTTGTACTTCCTTCTCCAGCTTGACATTGTTCTTAAGCCATTCATACTTTTTAATAGGAGGTGGCTACAGGAAAATAAGTCAAACACTCACTTAAAAACTTACAGTGAGGGCAAGTAGTTAAAAAAAGGAAGAAAAGAAAAAACAACTTAATGTTAAAATGTCACACAGGGAATACAAGAAACTAAGACATAAATGTATCATATCTCAGGGATTTTCTGTGGCTTTTATTTTGACAGGGCCATATCCTAGAAAGTTTATTTTACAGTTTATTCACAGTGAAGCAGAAGAGGGTTTTGATGTCTTTAAAATCATATATTAGAGTTTTGATAAGCATTTAGTTAGATTGGATTTTCAGGAAGCTTTTACAGAAAATGTCCAGTGTTGATTAGTTAGAGAGATGTAAAAAAATAGGCTCTTACCTTTGTAGAAACACATTCAAATTTCGCTGTTTTATTATTGCATGATANAAAAAATAGGCTCTTACCTTTGTAGAAACACATTCAAATTTCACTGTTTTATCATTGCATGATATTTTTATTGTAGGCTTGTTCACACGATCTGGGAAGATTGATTAAAGAGACAAAGTTATGAGGAAATGTAAAAATGCTGCTGTTGATGCGTGTTTAGGATTTTCTGATCCATTAACGTAATGACCTTAAAGTTTATTTGTCTCTAATAATGTGGATATTTTCAATAAGGGTGTAGAGAGAAATATCAAACAGCTTGCAAATATAAAAAGAAGTGTTTATTAAGTTCTAGAGCAAGAAATTTCATACTTACCCAGTATAATTAATTTTATTTTCTGTGTGCCCTTTACTTTTCCAGATTGGTCATAAACCTCAGCAGTGTAAGTTCCTGCCTGGTTCTTCTTTATATTAGTCAGTTTGAGGGATCCATCCTTTTCAATATCTCCTTTTTTTCCAGTGATGATTTGTTCAGGTTTTTTATAAAACAATAAATCGTCATTTAACTTCCACCTCAGGCTATCAGTAGAATTTAGGGTTAGACTTCCCAGCCGAACAGTGACGTTGTCTCCCACTGCAACAACCATAGTATCTTTGGATCAGAAAGAAAAGGGGAGAAGAACAGGTGTTAGCAGCTTAAACCGGATTTTATTTTATTCTCATCACTTTTTGTAGTCCCTTATCCTACTGCTGTAGATATTGTTTATCAACTATTCTAAAATCGTATCCCCAGTAGGTTGACCAGCATCCCAGTAAAACACAATGAAGTTTACTGTAAAAAATTGACAAAATGAGAAAAGTTTCAGTAGAAGAGAATTAGGATGGAAACAATAAATCAGATAAATAGTGATTAATTGATAATTGAAATAACCGTCAACTAATTTAGTAATCGATTAATCATTAACTGGAGTAAAGAGGCTCTAAAACGGGCTTTTAGCTGACAGAAAAAAAACACTTAGTGCAGTAATTAACTAAACATTTTGCATGTGAGTTAAAAAAAACTTTTTCCATCTGTCAATATGCCCTATCCAGAACTCCTCAAGTGAATTAGTTTTAGTTTCACCTGGTTTAATTTCGCCAAATGTCTTCTTTACGGAACATTTTGCAATTCCAAAAAAGTTGAAAAACAATCCACTGGACTTTGCTTCCCAGTTTAAAGACATCTCGCTTCCCATTCCATACAGGAAGCTTTTTCTATTTAAAATCTCTGAATGTGCGTTAAGTTCGAAGCTATATATAGTATCCTAAAGCCTTGTTTTGGCTTAGAAAACATGCAAATTGAACCAGAAGAATGGGTCCGCCCCTTAGGAATGGGGAGTCGTTTTTGGTGCAATACCGGATACTGGTCTATGCCTCTGAAAGGGGGTCGTTTGGGGCAATTGTCGGCGAGCCACCTGAAATAATAGTGGGAACGAATCAACTCAATCACTGATTCCTTCCCGCTATTATTCCTAAGAGGCTGAACAGTTCTTCTGGTTCAATTTGCATGTTTTCTAAGCCAAAACAAGCTTTTCGGCTANATATCTGGCTGGCTTGCCACATATGGAAGCAGTTGTACTGCGTTGTGTAGTCCTGTTTCTGACCTTATGCCCACTTAGCAACACAGACAATGCAATATGTAAACAGAGAGTCTACAAGCTGGAAGTTACGTACAAATCTTTGCAAAAACAAGGTCTTTAAGGCCCACTCGCACGCAATCGGGTCACAGGACAAGCACTTCCAGGAAGTTCTTTTCCTCCCATTGTAGTAGCAATGGGATGTCTGCTGTAGCTGTGAATCCTCTTTTCTTTTTAAGTGACTAAATATACAATCTAAATAAGATAAAAATATACTCTATAAGTTTGTGGTTGAAAACTATTGATTTTATTTACTTAATTTAATTAAATATGAGTTAAAACTTCTTTTTAAAAAAACTAACGAGTTGAAGTAAGAAAAAAAGATAGAACTTTCCAGAGAACCAACTACTAAAATCACACCAATCCTAAATCGTGCTTTAAATTAGTACCACTTCGTCTCCTTTTAGCAGTAAATAGAGCTAAATAAGATAAAAATATACTCTATAAGTTTGTGGTTGAAAACAATTGATTTTATTTACTTAATTTTATTTAATATGAGTTAAAACTTCTTTTTAAAAAAAAACTATAAAGAGTTTTAAATAAACTATTTTTTTTTTCTAAATTACTTGAATTTGAATTTCACTGCATAAAATCTAATAGAAACATCCCACATGGAATAATTTATGTTTTTAACACATAAGAGAGCAAAGGTCAGCTTGAAGTAAGAAGAAAAGATAGAACTTTCCAGAGAACCAACTACTAAAATCACACCAATCCTAAATCGTGCTTTAAATTAGTACCACTTCTTCTCCTTTTAGCAGTAAATAGTGATTCCTTATATTAATCCGTACCTTGAGAGCTGATGGAGGTGACAGCGAGGCAGCTGAGCAGAAACACAGAGACAAGAGACATCGATGCCATCTTCATTGTCGTCCTCCTCACATTTGGCTGAAAAGAAGAACTTTCCATCATCGAGGTTATTTCCTGCCTCTGCAGCACTTATCTCACTTGTCACTGCAAATTTGCGCATATGCTCGAGCTTATGGTTTAGAAAGGAA